TTCAGGCTGAGTTTTGAAATAGTGTTTTTGATGTGACTTAATTGTATGAATATGGGAGGACTTCAGTTTCAAAACTTCAGGTAGAAAGAAATATTTCACTGCTGTTGGAAACAGTATTTTAGAAGTGACTTAATTATGTGGATATGGCAAAAAATCACTTTTAAAACCTGCTGTTTACCAAGTCTTGCCACCATTTAATAAATATAATTGCTCATTCCTTTAGTATTTCATTTAGTGGATGTGGATTTGTATAGTTTGGACAGTGTTTAGTTGTGAGAGCCATGGAATTCTCACAGGAAAATCAGCATCTCCCAAGGAATCTGGATTGTGGTGCTGGCAGAGCAGGCACTGAATCACACACATCATTAACAGCAAAAACTTCATAATTTGCAGCCTGATCACAACATTCCCACAAATATTTAGTGCTGGTACCTTTAGTTAATATTATTAATAAAAATTTCTGTACCTTTAGTTAATATTATTAATAAAAATTTCTGTACTGGTTCTGCTTGGAGAGAACACTAAAATATAGAAAAATATAAAATTTCTGTGTAGGTTTAAGTAAAACCAATACCAGTTTCACTTTTAATATTTAAAAAATGTTAAATCTGACTGCAGATCAACTTTGTGTGAAACTGCTCAAGGGTATCTGGATATTTAAGTCTACAAAGTTATTCCTGTGATCATATTAACTGAGAAAGCTGCAATTCTCCTTTTTTTTTTTTTTTTTTTTTCAGGGTGCTGGTGCTCCCCAGAAGCAGCAAATAAATAATGCTGAAACCTACTTTGAAAATGCCAAGGTGGAGTGTGCAGTCCAAGCTTGTCCTGAGCTCCTACGAAAAGGTGGGGTTTTCACTTCCATTTGTAGCCAAGAAATCACAACTTTTTCCAAATATTTAAAAAATACTTTTGTTTCTATAAATCTTTTTTTTTAAAAATATCTTAAAAATATTTTTATTTCTATAAATATTTTTAATTAGTTAAGTAAATACTCTGTAAATGCCACAGGATGTGGACTAGAAAAGAGTTAATATTTTGCCAAAAACATACTATATAATAAACCCCAAACCTGTGCTGTTGACAATATTTAGTATTTCATATAAAATTCACATTTATATTTCAGATCAGCTGGGGCAGGGAGTAACTTTCAGCTTTAGTGTCAGGTAGATTCTGGAGCTAATCCACTATCCCAAAACCAGTTATCAGATGTTTTGGCAATATTAAAATGGCAAATGGAAATCATGGAAATTCTGACAGCATCAGGTTTGTATCTTTAACCAGTTCAAGAAGGAAAGCACTGAAATTAAATTGGAATCAAACCCGATTTAAGAAGTGAAGGGGCTGAAATGGGGCTGAAATTGGTCCGTGATTGGTCTCAAACGGAAGGAAACACGAGGAAAATGTAGGAGCAAAATACAACCTGGTGGATTCTCTTCCTGCAGATTTTGAATCCATGTTCCCAGAGGTGAGTCCCAACCGCCTGACTGTGTTAACTGTCACCCAGAAGACCAAAAATGACATGACTGTGTGGAGCCAAGAAGTGGAGGATGAGAGAGAGATGCTCTTAGAAAATGTGAGTACCTGACAGCAGCACCGGCTTCTTTTGGTTTGGAAATGAATCTTTTATGAGCTACCTGTGTATTTTGATTAATTTCTAGCTCTGCTAGTAATATATTATATTTTTAAAGCATTTCTGGGCTATTCCTGTGTTCTCTTGCTGTTAAAGTGGTTGATAATTTTTTGCAGGTTTAGAGCTTTTTGACTGTTTTATGTGAAATATCTCCTTGGGGTGAGTCAAAAATAGGCTGAAATGCCACAAAGATTAATAAAGATTTTGCCCTGATCCAGGTAAAGGGCAGCAACTATTTTCTCCCCTCAGTTCAGCTTCAGTACAGTATATTTTGTAGGGTTTCACTGCTATCTTTGCTTTCCTGTGCTTTAATTAAGATCCCAGTACAGAGTCTGTGGCCTTACTGGTAAAAGGTGTAAAAAACCACCAATTGCTCTGGTGTTTCTGTTTTTTTCCATTCTGATAATGGACACTATTAATTCTTTTAACCTGTTACATTTATATTTATTTCATCTTAACCATCCTCATGAACTTTGTCTTGTTCTGCTGCCACTAGAGGGCTCTGAAAATCACTTTATTTCCCATTTTTCAGGGGTTTTGTGTTTCCCCCAGCAAGTGTCGCTGTTCACTGCTGCCATTCTCCCTCAGCACCTCAAAATAAAAGATTTCTATCTGTTACTTGTCATAATTCTTCCAAATCTAGCAAAAAATCACCCTGTGGCATTTTTATCTGTGTTAAATTTATATTTAAAATTAACCTGGCAACGTCCTTCCCATCCTATAAATGCAAGTGTGGCCTCTCTAAAGCAGTGGAAGAAAAAAAGGAAGCAACAATCTGAAGGATCAACACAAAGATTGCACACAAATTAAAATTCCCTTCATTTCAGTGTGTTCTTCTCTTTGAATTATTTCTGGTCTGTTGGTCTTTGGCTTTGTAATCTGGTCTAATTATATGTTAATTGGCATCTTTCTTCCTTGTGCACCTCCCTGTCAGGTCTAATCCAGTCACTGTTGGGGTGTGAGGATGTTGGTTGTAACCTCCCAGCCCAGAGGTTACAAACAGCAAAATTCACAGGGAATTGGGATGTTTTCTTGGGAGATTTAACCTTAAAAATATTTAATATGAGTGGTCTGTGCTAAAGAAATGAGGGTCATGTACAGCCAAATCTAAATTTTTGTGGTAGTGCCTCTCAAATGTTTATTAAGTGGCTGCTGAGGGGTTGTTACAACACCAAAAGATGTCCTGGATCAGAAATTTAATGTCTAAAATGCTGTTTTCAGGTGGTTTGATGTTATTGGTGACTTATAGTTGAGACACAGTTAATCATCAGAGCCATCAAACCTCAAAATATAGAAGAATTTACTGGAAAGGGTAAAATTCCCTTATTTTGGATCCTTAAGAATCATCAGAGCCGTTAAACCTCAAAATACAGAAGAATTTACTGGAAAGGGTAAAATTCCCGTATTTTGGACCCTTAAGAAGCTGAGTAACTATAATATTTCTATAATTTTGAAACTTTGAGCTGCTGAGGGCCATAATTGTGAAGAACAATTCTTAGAACTGAAAGTAAATGGAGGATTTATTTAGAGTAGATATAAATACATAGAATAAAGTTAGAAATATATCTTGTTTTATGAGATCAGGGATATGTGTAACAGAAATCTCATTTGATATCCTTCTCTCCCATTTTTTTTCCCCCTTTCAGTTCATTAATGGTGCCAAGGAAATTTGCTATGCAATTTCTTCTGAGGGCTACTGGGCTGATTTCATTGATCCATCCTCAGGACTGGCAGTAAGTGTGAAATTTGTCTTCTGTATGGGTTAAATCCAACTTTATCAAGTGGTCCAAAAGGATAATTCCTTTAATAAATCAAGGAGCCATTCCCAAAGGGTGTCAGCTCTCGTTACAGTTGGCACTTGGAGGAAATGAAGCTGGATTTTAGAGAGCTGGAGTTTTTATGCCCCCCAAAAAAAAGCTTTTGCTCATTGCACAAGAAGCTGGTTGTACCCTGCCAGAGTAACTTGGTAACCCTGACACCTGTTTGTGTGGATGGAGGGTTTAAAAAGCCTCTTTGCAGCAGGAAAAAAATGAATAATTGTTCCTATCAAACAGTGTGTGCATTCATTGTGAGATCACACAGTTCTCTGGAGGAGCTGAGTTTGTTACCAAGACATTTATGAAGCAGAATCTTAAAATTTACAAGAGAGAGAGTTAAGAAAACTTCTATCAAAGCAAGAAATCTTTTTTGTGTTTTTGTCTGAGAAGCATTAAAACCATATAGCAAAGCTCAGTTTAGTGGGGTTTTATTTAAAAACACTGCAAAAGGCAGTGATTTAATGTGTCTGTTCACCTTACAAACATCCCTGTTTGCAAACAGGTTTAGTAGGGGATGTTTATAAGCTGAACAGGCAGTTAAGGGGCGTGTAGGGCTTAAAAACTTCCCAAAAATTCCGTGCATTTAAGGAATAGTCAGGGATTGATGAAAGTAAGATTCTGTTTTCAGAATCCAGTTCAGTGGTAACATCCTTGTCCATTATCAGGACAAGTCAGAAGCTTCCTCCTGAGGTAAAAAACTGAGATACCCGTTTCCAGTTCCAATTCAAGCCCATTTTTGCTCTTCAAAACTATGTTTTTTGCAGGGGGAGCATTGAAAAAGTACATTTCTGCTTTTTTTGCTGTTTCACAGAGAGTTTTATTCTTAGTCCAGGTTTTATTTTGCTGTTTCACAGAGGGGTTCTGTCCTTAATCCCTGTAGAATTATCAGAAGCTTTCCAAAGCCTGTGAGGTTTTTCTGGGTGTGATTGATGAGACTTCAAATGCACTTCAGTGCCCGAGGAAAACCTGTAAAATGTGGTACCAATACACCCAGAGCTGCTCTGCTTAATCTCCCGTTTAGATTTTAGGTAAAAATATACATGAAATTTCCTCCAGCAGATGTAACTTATTTCTAGGCTTAGGTTTTGTTTAAAAAGGGGAAATTTTGACATGAAAAATTCTTTTTTTTTTTTTTTTTTTTACAGTTCTGATGTGAAAAAAATCTCTTTTTTTAGTTCTGGTGTGAGAAATTCTCTTTTTTTTTTTT